TTTTTTTTTTTTTTTTTTTTTTTTTTTTTTTTTTTTTTTATTTCTTCTTCTTATTAATATTTTAAAATTTAGTTTCGAGTTTATATTTTAATTATTGATTTGACATCGTTTAGGCCCACTGAAAATATTCTCTATTTTCTGTCGCTTAGCCCAATGGGCCCAAATTAAGCACCATCATGGCATTGGACTCTGCCCAATTGTGAATCTCCTGATGGGAGTTCTCAAAATTGTCTATCATCTCAACTTCTTTCACGAACATAACAGTGTCACAAAATTTTCATCTTCCCAACTTTATTATATAGTTTCGATTACACTTTCGTGGGTCCTTAGTGGGTCGTACGAAAATAGTACATATAGAACTATGTGTATGAACGTGATACACATCTCGAACTAAAAAGACTAGAATCCAAGGCCATAGTTTTAGGTCCCATTAAAAAGAAATTTCATATTTTTATGTTGCATGTGATTGCATTTTTCGATGTTAATAATGGTAATACTTACTGGGTATTTTATAAATACTCAACCGTTCTTATCATGTTTTTCTAAAAAGAGAAAATATGGGAATGTCTGGTTGACATTGGATGTATAGTGTCTCTCTTTTCTTTAAATATTAGGAACTCAGGTAAGAACTTAATATTTTTTTAAACTTGTGATTTATGTAAGACTATGAATAATGTTTTACTATTTTTTTTTTTCGAGATCTCAAATCTAAATCAAGTACGTCTTCACTTAAGTTCATTGATGTCACGTGTTTATAATATTAAGAGCATAGAGAGTTGTGACATGCATGTAGAAGCAGTCAACGTCGTTAGACAAGATTTTTTTTATTTCAAAATGTTATGGCTTGATAACGCGTTGGTTTAGCTACCTCACAGTACATCTCGACTGCATAAAGAGCCTTTAAAGTTAAACTAATGGTCTAATAATTTATAGTGATTTTTAAAGGAAAGAGCTAAATTTGTATGAAGGTAACATGAGAATGTTGGAGTTGCATCAAGTTGTTGTTGCTCCGTGAGTAGATCCAAGATTGGTTGAGTATGAGAGTGAGGTAGATCATTAAGAGTTTGATCTTCACTAGTGACTATTTTTTGTCCATGTCTTTTTTGAAGGAGACATGGATTCTAATGATGACGATTGTATAATGAGTTGAATGTATTATTAGAAATTATTCAAACCACTAGGGGTGGTGTCCATAATGATTTTATCATACACTTACAAGCTGACACATTTCTTGTAACGACCCGACTTTTCTATTAAACGTAAAGTCGTCATTGCATGACATGATTATTACGTATACAAATATTCATTTAAAATAATTTCAAACGAAGCCTTAGATTTACGTTCGAGGTAAAACTTTAAAAACACATCAAGAAAAACGGTAAAGTGGAAAAATAAATAATATTATGAATCTCACAACATAACATAAAAATTGTTCAATACTTCAATAGGGTTAAGTCGATTTGTTAGAAGATTACTGAACTAAATTCGAAGTCTGTCATTGAAGAAACTCAAATGAAGAGGATCATTATCCATAGATTGCGACCAAAATATAGAAGCTTTGTTGTTGATGTACAAGGATGGTCTGCTCAACCAACTACTTGCTATCCAGCCAAGAAGCCATGGCTAAGTAAATGGGAGACTTCACGCTGAAGAGTGAAGAAGAAGTGCTGCAAAAACTGGAGCAATAATAAGCCAATGGATACAAAATGGTAACAAAGAAAGAAGCCACCAAGAAACTGCACAAACTAACTTAGAGAGCTTAGAAGAACGACAACAAGAGTTCTCAAGAGAAGAGATTTGAAGGTATTTGCAACAACTAAAGAAGGAAAGACCACATGTCCAAGGATTGTTGGTCCAAGAAAAAGTTCGTCGAGAGCAATGTGGCAACCTCCAAAAAGGAGATGAAGGATTAATGGGATGTAGGGGTACTATGTGTCATAGAAGAAGACGAGCTAGCGCTCAAGGGGATGATGGAAGGACATATCGATTACGAGAATGACTGGATCATTGATTCAGGATGCTCATACTACGTAACTGGCGATCAGAGTGGCGCAATGGAAGCAAGCTGGCCCTCAGAGAAGGAATTATTACTAGATTTAGACACCATTGAAGAAATTCTACCCAAAAGATTGGAAGAGCAAACTATATACATTTGGTTAAGTATTGATGTGCTTGAAGATCTAAGTGACATTGATATTGATGAGCAAGAAGTGACTTAACCAAGCGAATTCAATGAAAAGGAAACGACACATCAACAACTTAGATGGTCAGAAAAAATTCAAAAATCAAGTGCTAAGTATGTCAACGTAGCTATTATAGAAGACAAAGTTAAAGAGCTAGAGACGTACGAAAAATCATCACGAAGTACGACTTGACAGTAGGCAAGGGAGGAATAAATTATAGTCTTGGATCAAAATCAGACCTAAAAACTAATGTCAAGATTAGGAGATATCAAACTCTTCTATTGCAAGTGTGTTTACAAAATAAAGTGTCTCTCAGATGGATCAATCGAGAAATACATGGCTCGGACAGTAGCTCCAGAGTTCTCTCAACAATATGGATTAGAATATTGTGAAACGTTTATTCCAGTGACAAAGACCATTATCATACAGGTCTCATCAACCGAGAGATTGATATGAAGAATGCTTTTTATATGGAAAGTGAGAGATGAAGGAATGAGATTCTTTAAGTTATTAGTAAGTTCTCAGACAAGCGAATAAATGAGATCTTTGTGTCAAAGGTTCGTTGGTTATTCTTGACCTTTTTTAGCATTTTTGTTAGAAAATGGAAAGTATTTTGCATAGATGAAATGTTACAAGGAGATATTTAGCATTCATGGTATACATGTGTTGATAGTGTACCTTACAGATCTCCGCAATAGTATGATATTTCCATTTTGAGCATAATCTCTGGTGGTTTTGCTTTGGGCTTCCTCAAAAGGCCTCATACTAATGAAGATGTATTTCTCAAAAGGTCTTTGTAGCCCTCAAACAACCTCTCCTTAATCGAGGCTCGACTCCTTTTTCTGGAGCAATTTCTTTGTTCGACACATGAGGATTCTATTGACATAGCTAAATTAAGGGCATGACTCTGATACCACGTTAGGAATCACGGATCTCCACAATAGTATGATATTGTCCACTTTGAACATAAGCTCTCATGGGTTTGCTTTAGGCTTCCCAAAATGTTTCATCCCAATGGAGATGTATCTCTTACTTATAAACCTCGTGATCATTCCTTTAATTAACCAACGTGAGACTCCCTCCCAACAATCCTCAACAATTCTTCCATTTAAGCGTGACTTAATAATTTTCCTTTTAATTTAAGTCAGTTTGAGACATGTTAACCATATCTAAGTAAGAGTTATGAATACTAGAGTTTATACGTGTATCTCGTGATAGTAGAACTAATCATCATTGGTTCGAATAGCCTTAAAAAAAGTTCACAGTCGGTTTAAGCTACAATCAAGGCAAGTAATCATATTATGGAACACTATATGTTTGGTTCGATGAACTTTTGATTTATAATAAAATACTATTTTCTAACCAGAACCATTTTTATTATAATGCATGTATGCCAGGTATGATGTGACACGAAAAATTAATGATACTCTCAATAATAAATAAGGAAAGTAATCTAGCCACGTAATTAATAGAAACGATTCATGAAAGAAATGATTATAGTAATATAATAATGTATAACAAATTATAACGTATGCTCTCTTAGCTGTGAGACCTCGTCCATATTTATGATTACGAAAAAATGAGATTGCAAAAACTTGCCAATATAGCCCCGAAGAAGAGTGACAAAATGGTAGCCACGAGGAAAAGTAGCAATATGGTCACGATCATGTTTCTGTGGAAATATGATTATCTTTAGTGATACGACCCATAAAGAAAAAGTTACAACTTTTTTTTTTTCAACTAGAGGAAAGATATCATACACAAATGATGGTGTTTGCTTAACCGGCCATAGATAGTTCAAACAAACTTATATCGACACGATAATCCAATTATATTTAAATAACATTTTATTTGCTTTCTATAAAGCATGTATTTCTTTATATTTATATATAAAAGAAAAAGATCCCCAAAAGAAACTTGTATGAATTAGAAGAACATATAATGGCCATCTATTTACATGACAAGACATGATTTGATGTTGTTTTGGATTTGTATAGAAATGAAAAGGTAGTGGGGATGATTTGAAGGCTTATGGCTCAATTTTTGAAAGTGGTTCACTAGTCCTCTTGTCTTTAGTTCTAAAGCTTGTGTGTCTACACTCGTTGTGAAGATGACTAATGATATACATGTCTGTCCCTCTCAACCACCAAATGCCCAAAACTCCCGACTATAATTTTCATTAAAGATATGTACAAAGTCATTTGTATGTGCTTTGTGCGAGACATCATGTGCTTTGCCCTCCTTTTCCATTTGTGGGTTCTCACCTTTTTGTTCTAAATTATTGGACCATAGTTTGTTGTTCTATATTATACTTGATTAGACCACTGATACACTGTTTTAATGAATGTAAAAAAATTGTAGAAGTTAAAGTTTTATGAATGGTATGTTGATTTGTTTGTGCATGATTTTATTATTTGTAAAGCATGGAATAGTTTATGCGAGATTCCACATCAATTAGAGAGAGTAACGAGTGCACGTGGGATTTCGAAGGGAGATAGACCGTGAGATCCCAAAAACAACCGGAGTTGAAGTAATCACATATTTGAAGCAGTATGATTGGTAAAGATCAGACATCGGAAAGATACTGTTTTTTTTTTTATTGGTTGGGCCTCTCTCTCTTTCATTATTAGTGTGAGAGAATAGGCATTTTAGGCAAAAAGATGATGGCACTTGAGCTGGTCTCTTCTCTCAGTTTGTGATTATCAATATTAGGTTTCATTTTTGAATAATAATAATAATAGAGTCCAAAAATTCAACCAAAGTAATGGGTTTTCCATTCTGATTCTGTAACTTTACACCATATCTTCCATCCCACCATAATCTGATTATTGGGTTTCGTTTTGAATAATGGAACACTCCAAAAATTCAACTAAAATAATGGGTTTTTTCATTCTGATTCTCTTAACTTTACACCATATCTTCCATCCCACCACAACCCCTCTCTCTCTTTCTCTCTCTCTCCGCCCATTTATTTCATCTGTCGAATCTTACCCACTCCATAACCAGTAAAGGCTATGGAAACCCACCTCCCTCCTCTCTGCCTCTTACCGTTTCCTCACTCTGCGTCTCACTGCCGCTGCCATAGCCTTCAACGCATAGATTAACGCACAAGGGCTCTCCCGATTCTTCAATAAACCCATGTATGTCACACTAGATGTGAATCCCTTCTTGTTTTTCTTATGTTTTTGCTTGATTTTAATGTTGCCCTCTTCTTTGCTTCTGCTCTGCTTTCTTCTGGGTCTGTTTTTGAATGATGATGCGATGAAATTTATGCTTTCTGGGTTATGATTAGTCGCTCTTTTTGGTTCTTTTCTTGGAATTTTTCCTGGGGTTTTTCCCTTTTTACTCTTTTTCACTGAATGAATCTGCTTCTATGATACCTGATGTTGTGACCATGTGCTTGCTTAGTTGCTCTGGGTAATAATTTGTGTTTGAATTCATGGAGGAAGTTTCCATGAATCTAGGTTTATGTAGGCGTAAGATTTGTGAAATTGTAGTTTGGGATGAACAAATATATATGCTAATCTTAAGCTTAGCTTCTTGATATCAAGTTCTGGTAGAACAGCTGCTGAAGTGTTGAGGGCTTGTGGCCTTTTTCATGGATTCATAGCCAAAGATTGATCATGTATTAGGGCTCATTAGCATAAACTTTTAGGAAAAATGTCATGTTCTTGAACGTTCTTCTCCATTATTGTGCAATGCAGAAGCAACATGAACTTATTTGATTGTTCTTGTAATTCTTAAAACAGAAGGAAAAGAAGGGATTCTCTGTGTTTGGAAGCCTCTGGTTCTTAACTTTTTTGGACAATTCATTCAAATAATGGAAACTTTAGATTTCAATATTGAAGCTGCTAAAGATTCAGAGCCTAGCAGTAGTCAAGAAGCAAATCCTGATCACTCTAACACTGGCACTGCCAGTTCTTCCTGCCCTCCAAGCTCGAGTGAAGTTGCTGTTGCTGTTGCTGATGCAGTGCCCATTTCACTTGACTTGACACTTCAGTTTAACTCCAACGATATCGAATCGAAGGGTGATGGTGATGGCGAGAATCACGGGGAAACAAATGGTAACAAATCGTCGTCTGCATCGACGCCGAGAGTTTTCTCTTGCAATTACTGTCGACGTAAGTTCTTCAGCTCGCAGGCGCTTGGTGGGCATCAAAATGCACACAAAAGAGAGAGGACAATGGCTAAACGTGTAACTCGAATGGGAATGTTCTTCGATCGATACGGTAGCTTGGCGTCGCTGCCTCTTCATGGCTCAGCTCTTAGATCACTCGGCATTGAAGCTCATGGTGCTCTACACCAAACAGTTCTAGCTTCAGATCACAGGCCTTATCCTGGTAGGAGTGTTGGAGCAAAGTTTGAGCATAGCACTTTCGGGTTCCCGACATTCGTTGAGGAATACGAGGACGATGTCGGGATGTTTTGGCCAGGAAGCTTCAGGCAGGTGGCTGCCAAAGTTGATAGCAGCTTAGGCCCTTTGAAATCCACAGTTCAAATTTCGGATTCAGAGTTTGGGAAGACAATTCCTCCTCCACCAAGAACAGAAGAATCATCTCCTGATCTCACTTTGAGGCTTTAGTAAGTAATTTTCGTTTTGATGCCTTCTTCTTAATGTATCAACTTTTGTAAAGTGGGATGTGTCTGCCATTGTCTGCCATTTTTTAGTGGTTCTAAGCTTATGAATTGTTGAATAAATCTTCAAATTTTTTCTTTTTGTGCCAATTACCCTTATCCTAATCTAAAATACACTTTTTTGATCCTTTACCTTCCTTTTTCTTTGCAAGTTTTGTCCATGAATTCCAAAAGTTTCTATTCTAATCTCGAATCGATACCGACGTAAAGTTGGTTTTTCAACGTAACAATTTGCAAACAAAGCTTTTAATGGAGATACATCGATCCTCATTTTGACCCATTTGTGAGAGTGAACTGAACTAAAACTTGGTATATTCTTGTGAGATCTCACATCAGTTGAAGAGGGGAACCAAACATTCATTTTAAGGGTGTTGAAACCTCTTCCTAGTAGACACGTTTTAAAACTATGAGATTGATGAGAATACTCAACGAGCCAAAGTGGACAATATTTGCTAGCGGTGGGTTTGAGCTATTCTAAATGGTATCAGAGCCAAACATCGGGCGATGTGCGAGCAAGGATGTTGGCCCCAAAAAGGGTGGATTGCGAGATCCCACATCGGTTGGAGGCCCCAAAGAGAGTGGATTATGAGATCTCACATCGGTTGGAGAGAGGAATGAAACATTCCTTATAAGGGTGTGGAAACTTCTCCCTAGCAGATGTTTTTTAAAACTATGAGGCTGACGGTGATACGTAAAAGGTCAAATGGACAATATTTGTTAGTAGTGGGTTTAGGCTGTTATAAATGGTATTAAAGTTAGACATTAGGTGGTGTGCTAGTGAGGACGTTGGCTCCCAAGGGGGTTGAATTGTGAGATTCCACATCGGCTGGAGAGAAGAACGAAACATAAATGCGTTTTAAAACTCTGAAGCTAATAGTGATATGTAACGGACTAAAGCGGACAAGATTTGCTAGTGATGGGTTTGGACTGTTACAGTTGTCAAACTAATATCCTATTCCTTCCACTATTGATAAGTAATGGCTCGATAATCTCTCTTGTACCTATCAGTTCTTAAGTTGGACCTGGTCATCAACTCTCAAGTTTTAATATCAAATTTGTTAAATAAAATCGTTTTATAGCTACGTATGGATGTTGTAACGCGCATGTATGTACTTATCTTGTTTAAGTTCATATTTTATTTGGATTAAACTCATTATTCAAAATATAAAGTGGTGTGAGACACAATAATGGGTTTATTTGAGATTATATCCTAAGATAAGATTAAAATTAAAATTAAATAAACTTAACCACTACAAGAACATTTATCGGATAAAGCGAACATTGTCGGCATAAGGTCACGAGTCATGAACCACACGACGGCGCTCAATTCAAGCGTATTGACGAAATTACCCTTCCCTTCCACCCTCCAATAAATTATATACACGTGGCCTTTTTTTTTTTTTTTTTTTTTTTTTTTTTTTTTTTTTTTTTTTTTTTTTTTTTTTTT